GGGGTGGGCCGCCCCGCCCGGCCGGGGCTGATTTTTGGGGCGTTTCCCCCTCGTTTCTCCAGCTACCGCATCCTGAACCCCGCCGCCATCCCCGAGGGGCAGTTCATCGACAGCCGCAAGGGCGCCGAGAAGCTCCTGGGTTCCCTCGACATCGACCACAACCAGTACAAGTTTGGGCACACCAAGGTGAGGGGTGGGGGGGCGGGGCCATGGAGGTGGTGGGAGGGGCCAGTGGGGCTGGGTGAAAGGGGGGCAAGAGAAGGTGAAGGGCTTGTGCAGGCCAAGGAGGTGGGACCCGGATGTGTGGTCTCCATTCCCCATAGTCCCATCATCTGCCCATCTACAGACTCGTCCATCCATCCATCTGTTCCTCCATCCATCCCTCCATCCATCCATCAACCAACCCTCCATCCCTCCATCTATCCATCCATCCCTCCATCCAGCCATCTCCTTTGACCCCTTCACCCATCAGCCCTTCCACCCAACCCCCGCTGCCCCCAATGGCCCTTCCCACCACCTTGCTCCTCACCGCCTCCTTCCCTCCACCAGGTCTTCTTCAAGGCCGGGCTGCTGGGCCACCTAGAGGAGATGCGGGACGAGCGCCTCTCCCGCATCATCACCCGCATCCAGGCCCAGGCCCGGGGGCAGCTCATGCGCATCGAGTTCAAGAAGATCCTGGAGCGCCGGTGAGACGGGGTGGGGACGGCTCATCCTCCTTGGGGAGGAGGCTCCAGGTCCCCGGGGCTGGGCCAGGGGCGTGGGAGAGCTGCTCCGGCACAGCAGCATCTCGGTGTCCCCCACTGTAGGGACGCACTGCTGGTGATTCAGTGGAACATCCGGGCCTTCATGGGGGTGAAGAACTGGCCCTGGATGAAGCTCTACTTCAAGATCAAGCCCCTGCTGAAGAGCGCCGAGACGGAGAAGGAGATGCAGGTGGGAGGACGGGTGATGGGACAGGTGGGGTGACCTCAGACCTGTTGAGGACCTGGATGGGACGGATGGGTGGGTGGAGAAGGACAAATGGCGTCGGTCCACCCGCCCCGGATGAACACCGCTACGTTGGGTTTGGGGTCCGGTGCAGACCATGAAGGAGGAGTTCGGGCGGCTGAAGGAAGCCCTGGAGAAGTCGGAGACGCGGCGGAAGGAGCTGGAGGAGAAGATGGTCTCTCTGCTGCAGGAGAAGAACGATCTCCAGCTGCAAGTGCAGGCCGTGAGTGAAGCTCCCTCTGCCCCAGACCATGTCCGGGGGTGGGAGGGGAAATGGCTCACAAGCCCTCCACCCACCCCCGGGGTGCTGCTGCCTCCAACGCTGCCCTGACGCTCCTTCCTGCCCACGCACAGGAGCAGGACAACCTCAATGATGCCGAGGAGCGCTGCGACCAGCTGATCAAGAACAAGATCCAGCTGGAGGCCAAGGTGAAGGAGCTCACGGAGCGCCTGGAGGACGAGGAGGAGATGAACGCCGAGCTCACGGCCAAGAAGAGGAAGCTGGAGGACGAGTGCTCGGAACTCAAGAAGGACATTGATGACCTGGAGCTGACGCTGGCCAAGGTGGAGAAGGAGAAACACGCCACGGAGAACAAGGTGAGGGCAGGGGAAAGACCTCGACTCCAAGCCGAGGGTTGAGGAGGCCTAAAGCTGCTTGGGGTCTAGGGGCCTCGTTGGCTTGGCCAAGAACAAGAACAAGCCTCCCTCTCTGCCCTGCCTTGGGCACCAAGCTGGTGGCCTCCCACCCCGGACGTTTCTCCCCACGCAGGTCAAGAACCTCACAGAGGAGATGGCCGGGCTGGACGAGATCATCGCCAAGCTGACGAAGGAGAAGAAGGCCCTGCAAGAGTCCCACCAGCAAGCGCTGGACGACCTGCAGGCAGAAGAAGACAAGGTCAACACCTTGACCAAGGCCAAAGTGAAGCTGGAGCAGCAGGCGGATGACGTGAGTATGGGTTGGTGCCACCGTGGGTGCTGTTTTGGCCACTGAGGAGCTTCCTGCTGCAGAGGTGACCAGGGCCTGGGGGTTTCTCCTCCTTTTTTCCCTGCAGCTCGAAGGGTCCCTGGAGCAGGAGAAGAAGATCCGGATGGACCTGGAACGGGCCAAGCGGAAGCTGGAAGGTGACTTGAAACTCACCCAAGAGAACATCATGGACCTGGAGAACGACAAGCAGCAGCTGGAGGAGAAGCTCAAAAAGTGAGGCCGGACCTTCCTCCCCAGTCTGACGCAGTCCAGGGTCCAAGGTGGAGACATCAATTCTCTCCACATCTCTCGGCAGGAAAGAGTTTGAGATCCACCAGCAGAACAGCAAGATCGAGGATGAACAAGCGCTGGCCCTGCAGCTCCAGAAGAAGATGAAAGAGCTGCAGGTGAGGACCCACCTCCAGCCCCAGAGGTCTTGGAGGAGAGACCCAGCTCTGAAACAAGCGGCGCTAACATCCGGCACGGGGTCTCTCCCGGCACTCTAGAGCAAAGGGTGCTCTAGGACAAAACTCGGATGTGAGCTGAGGATGGTCTACCAAGCCTAGACCCAATCTAGAGCCAAGATAAACTATGTCCCGCTCTCTGTCCCCAGGGTTAGGTGGGGAGAGGCTGGGTTGAAATGAGCCCATGTCCAGCAGTCTCACGTTGGGTGGGTTGGTCAAAGGGCAGTTGGGTTGGCCTGGACGGCCTCCAAAGAGACCGATGCCAAGCCAGGCTTGGGTTCAGAAGAGAGATTTCAAGGCAGCTTGAGCTGAGGCGCTTTATCTAAAAAGCGGAAGAGTTGGTGGGAACGGTCGAGCTAAACAACCTCATGAGCTGAGCCAATGAGTCTCCATGCAGCCAGTCTGGGATGGGGTGAATAGATCGATGTGACTGACTTGCAGCTCGGAAGGGCTGGCCAGGAAGCAAAGACCAGTTTAAGGTGGTGATGGCGCTGGATCGTGTTAGGCTGGGGAGTCTCCAAGTGGTTGGGATGAGTCAGGCCGAAGAGTCTCCAGCTGGTTGGGTTGGGTTGAGTTGCACTGAGGAGTCTCCAGTGGGTTGGGTTGGGTTGAGTTGAGCTGGAGAATCTCCAGCTGGTGGGGATGAGTTGCACCAAAGAGTCTCCAACTGGTTGAGTTGGGTTGAGTCAAGCCTGACGACGGTGTCTCCGTGCCCGGGCCGCAGGCGCGGATCGAGGAGCTGGAGGAAGAGCTGGAGGCGGAGCGCACGGGGCGGGCCAAGGTGGAGAAGCTGCGCTCGGAGCTGTCGCGGGAGCTGGAGGAGATCAGCGAGCGGCTGGAGGAGGCGGGCGGCGCCACCTCGGTGCAGATCGAGCTCAACAAGAAGCGGGAGGCCGAGTTCCAGAAGATGCGGCGCGACCTGGAGGAGGCCACGCTGCAGCACGAGGCCACGGCCGCCACGCTGCGCAAGAAGCACGCCGACAGCGTGGCCGAGCTCGGCGAGCAGATCGACAACCTGCAGCGCGTCAAGCAGAAGCTGGAGAAGGAGAAGAGCGAGCTCAAGCTGGAGCTGGACGACGTCAGCGCCAGCATGGAGCAGCTCATCAAGGCCAAGGTTAGGGGTGGGGCTTGGCCTGCTGGGGGGCGGGCCCGAGCTGGAAAGGAGGACATCGTCCCCATGGCCTGCTTTGTCCCTCCCCTCGCCCCATCCTCTGCTCCACCAGGTGGGCATGGAGAAGGTGTCCCGCAGCCTGGAGGACCAGGCGGCCGAGCACCGGGCCAAGCTGGAGGAGATGCAGCGAGCCCTCAATGACACCAGCACCCAGCGGGCCAAGCTCCAGACCGAGAACGGTGGGACCCCCCACCGGCAGACCCGCCACCCTGATCCACCTGCTCCCCATCCCTAAAGCCCTGCCCTACCTCTGCAGGAGAGCTGTCCCGCCAGCTGGAGGAGAAGGAGGCCCTCATCTCTCAGCTCACCCGGGGCAAGCAGTCGTACACCCAGCAGATGGAGGACCTCAAGAGGCAGCTGGAGGAGGAAGCAAAGGTGAGGTCTGTGGGTGGGCAAAAAGCCACTGGGCTGGGCTGAGCGGGTCAAGCTCAAGGGGGATGGGTTGGGAGAGTGGGTCTAAAGGTGATGAGGTTGGATTGGACCAGGTGAAGGGCTGGGGTGGGCTGGGCTGGGAGGGTGGATCTAGGACCACTTAAGTTGGGTTAGACGGTCTAAAGGAGTTTGGGTTGGGTTGGTCTAAAGGAGGTTGGGTTGATCTCATGGCGGTTGAGTTGGACGATCTAAATGCAGTTGGGTTGGGTTGGACTTAAAGAGGTTGGGTTGGTTTAAAGGAGGTTGGGTTGATCTCATGGTGCTTGGGTTGGGTTGATCTAAATGCAGTTGGGTTGGGTTGATCTTAAGAAGGCTGGGTTGGTCTAATGGAGAAAGGGTGGGCTGGTCTAATGGAGAAAGAGTAGGTTGGTCTAAAGGAGGTCGGGTTGACCTAATGGAGGCTGAGTTGGGCTGAGGAGAGCAACACCACCACTTACCGAGTTGGAGGACGCCGAGCCGGGCCAGGGTGACATGGGCCCCCCGGCCCTGCCTTCTCCTCACCCCCCAGGCGAAGAACGCGCTGGCCCACGCCCTCCAGTCGGCCCGGCACGACTGCGACCTGCTGCGGGAGCAGTACGAGGAGGAGACGGAGGCCAAGGCCGAGCTCCAGCGCACCCTGTCCAAGGCCAACTCCGAGGTGGCCCAGTGGAGGACCAAGTACGAGACGGATGCCATCCAGCGCACCGAGGAGCTGGAGGAGGCCAAGTGAGACATCTCCCCTTGGATTCACCCCCCTCCACCATACCCTGAGGTTCTCCCCCAGCTCTTGGGGCCTCCCTGGTCTTGTCTTTCCCCACCTTCCTGCTCCTCTCCAGCAAGCACAACCAGGGCATTGGGCTTCTTCGTGCCGGGTAGATTTAGAGCCCTTGTTGGGGATCCAGAACGCTTGCTGGGTAGAGCGACCTAGAACGTCCATAACGCTGATGAGAGCTTTACTGCTGTCTTGCTTCTGACCGCCCTCGCTTTGGGAGCAACCAAACTAGCAGGGTGGGGAAAGGTCCAAGCGACGGGCAGGTTCTCACGTGGCTTCCTCCCTCTCTGGCCGGCAGGAAGAAGCTGGCGCAGCGGCTGCAGGCGGCCCAGGAGGCGGGGGGGGCGGGGGACGCC